AGAGAGAGAGAGAGAGAGAGAGAGAGAGAGAGAGAGAGAGAGAGAGAATGCATGTTAGTGTGTACTAATCTAGGGTATTGTGCATGTATTTATATGTACTAAATTTACAAAATGCCATGGTTTATCCTCCCATTTTTTTCTTTTGTAACCAGAAACACATTATTGATGCTAAAATAAACCATCTTCAGATATCTAGTAAGTTTTCAGCCAAAATTATCTTATGTAGATATTATATAGGGAAGAGCTTATATAGAAAAGATCACATAGAGAAGATTATATCTCCCCTATAGTCATAAATTCAGTAACTATCAGTATTCTAAAATAGTTCTCAAAGAATAGCCGGAAAATTTGCTGACAAAAATCAACAAAACGTTGACCAACAAATAATCTATAAAATCCAAGTAAATTAACTTAGAGATCTCAGAGAAAATCTACTTAAGTATTGTGATTTTTTCCCTCTGTGTGTTTAAGCTTAGGCATAAACCATAGATGTTACTGAAAAAGAGTCTAATGTTTGTGAAGAAAACACACACGCACGTGAACATACAGAGACACACGTGTAAAGGGAGAAGAGATGGAGGTCTAAAATAAATAACTTAATATTAAACAAAACTAAATATAAAAACTTATACTTTAAACTAAACTAAATTAGTTAATTTTATAAGTAGGAATGCAACTGGGGATGAAAGAGAAGAGGTGGGCTTTAACTTTTGAAGCTGGCAACGTTATTCGAAGTTGTGTCGATAGTACTTGTGCCTTATTTGTATAAATAAAAATGAGATTGTCTAAATCACAAATAAAAACTGGAGCACTTCTCCACTTCAAGGAGAATGTAATACAAATGGTGACCAAGACGACCAATTTCATTTTTAAAATACTTTCTTAAGTAACTTTTAGATGGGGAGTTACTCAGAGAGGTAATGTTAAACATGGATCTTAGGTGGGTAGTCTATTACAATGTCCCCATGGTGGAACATGTATTTACATACGGTAGTATATTTTTACACCAAGGTTCAGTAGAGATTATCATAATTCATAAAGAGCATGGTAAAATATCCACCTTTGGATTTGGTTTAGAACAAAACAATAAAGGCAAAGTATCCATGAGAAAGGCAAAGAGGCCCCCTACTGTACTAGGACTTCCTGTTTTGCTTTCTTTAAAGTACCATCTTTGAATTTGTGATACTTGATATTTTATGAAACAAGTTGACTAAGAAGATGTATCATATTTTGATTATTCCAACAGCTGAGCCTGGTGGGCATGCCCTTTGAAAAGCACCGAAGGCCTCTGTGCCTTGTACATCAAACTAATGGACACTGGTCACTGTCATTCAGGTGCATTGCTCCCAGACCCAGCAGTGTTTGAGATGACCCCCGTCTGACAGTTAAGCTTGTAAGTCAGACACTATCCTATAATAGCCACCACAGCCCATTGTAACTTCTCTTAGAATTCTAAAGAACTCCGGTGTGGTTATACAGGGGATCACCCACACACGAGCTTTGCATCTCTCAGTCATTCAGTTTCTATAACTAAGTTTTAAAGATATTATTCCAAGAGAATCTTCCAAAGAAGAGCCTCTGTAGGTTATTTGTTGTTTTCCAATAGAACATTACAGAAAGCTTATGGCCATGATATAGTTTATATCTCTATTTCAGATTCTTTACTCAAAATCGTTAAAACTGAAACAAAACAATGGACTAAAAATTCTTTGCTCTCCTATTAACTCTTATCTTGTGGATTTTTCCCCAGTTCTCTCTCTCTCTCTCTCTCTCTCTC